TTCCTGCTTGGTTTGGATGTACTTGAGTCGAGGGTCCTCCGGAAACAGCCTCTCTACCTCTACGAGGTAGTGGTAAGGTCTGCGTACACTCTACCCTCCCCACTTTGTGGGATTTCACTGGGTTTGTTGTTGTTGTTGTACTGTTTTTGTGTTGGATAAAATTAGTCGACCGACTCCGTTGAACCTCAAGTTAGTTTAGAAAAATTGATTTGTGTATACTATGATTTTGTTATGATAGAGGTATAACAAAGTAGTATATACTATTAGGCCTGTGATATGCTTTGTTTTCCATCGTTTTTTTGAAGCTCAAATTTTTGTTATATTAAATTATGTGTAGATTTGTGAAAAAATAGAAGAAATCATCTGATTTTCTCGACATTCCAGTAAGTTTTGTTGAGCTGGAAATTTAATAAGCTAAAATTTATGAATTTTTGACATGATTTGAAGTTGTTTTGTTTTTTCAGATCCACGTTTCTCTAAATTTTTTTATTTGATGCAGTTTGTCGGCGTTTATTCCTTCACCACTGTATATTGAAGTTGGGGGAAAATATACCTCTATGAAGGAGTCCAGTGCAGAAAATAGGTTAATATTTGTGTTGGTAATGGGGTATTGGGTGGGTTAAATGGGTCATTGGGCGGGTTTTTAAATTTTCGGGTTAATTAATTAGTCAAATCGGGTTGAGCCGTAGGATTGCGCCACGTGTCACTAAATATTCTTCAATTAGAGTGAGGGGAAAATGTGCTCTGCATTTTGGACGGCAGGAGTACTAATGACCGGAAAGTATGACGGAGGGTATTTGTATACCATTTACGATAGTTCGGGGGGTATATTTGTCCTTTTTCCCAAATTAAAATGATATGATTAAAAATGTTAATTTAAAAATACAATACATAATATGATAATGAAAAATACAAGAAAACAATACAATACATAACATAATAATTTAAATACAAGATAAAATACAATCATAATAATTAATTCCTTTTATTTGAATTTTTTCATTAATTTGTATATTATATAATATTTTCTTGCAATTTATGTTATTTAAAAATTTAGAATAAAATATAATTTTATATTAAATAAAAAAAATTGATTTTTTTTTATATCACATGAAAATTTAAAGTAATTATTGGGAAAAAGAAATAAAGAATTCATATTATGAAATAGATATAATAATATAATATTGAGGAGAGAGAAAAAGATTATTTTTAGAGAGTAAAATAGAGAATTGGGTTGAAGTTGATGTCTAAAAAAATAGAGAACTCTATATTTAGAGAGTAAATTAGAGTGTAGGGTTGGGGGAGGGGGAAGGTGGGGGGACGAATCGGAGCGACAAATGGTTGAATCTCAGTGGATCTATATTTAGTGAACTTTTGAGATAAATATTATTCTTTCTATTTTATTTTATGTTTTCTCCATACTAATTTATGAGATAACATTATTTCATTCTAATTTACGTGATATCTTTTTAATTTCAAATTTAAATCAGTCTTAATTTGATTTTAATTTTTTAAAAATATTTTAAATTATTAATTATTATACCTAAATTTATGATCAAAGTTAAATTATTTTACTCTAGAAATTCAAAAGAAGAAGATTTATTTGGGGTCAAATTAAAGGAATGGAATTTTAAATATTTATCATATTAAAGGTATGGAATTTTAATCATTGTTTAGGTAAAATTATAAAGATGTAATTTTTTCAATATTAAAGTAACAATTTTACAAATTATATAACTATATAAAGTCGTAATTTTCTACCCATTATAATATAAAATTATCATGATGGGTAGATTTTATCATTTTTATAGGTAAAAATTATAGAAAAACAATACGTGCTTATTCAGATTTTAGATTGGAAGCAAAAGTTATCATAAAAAAAGTTATAAATTTGATGAGCGAAAATGACCAAAATATCTTCACTTTTCAATTTAATGACAAATAACCAAACATATAAAAAAAATAATAGTTAAAATTTGATATTTTTTAAATTTGGACCAAAATATCTTCACTTTTCTATTTAATGACAAATAACCAGACATATAAAAAAATGATAGTTAAAATTTGATATTTTTTAAATTAATAAATATTTGATATATATAAACTAAAAAATTGAGAAGCTGGTGAGAGTGTTTAAGCTTCGTGGTAGTTCAATAATTTTCATCTACCAAATTACTATTTACTATTATTACATTGCACTATTGACGTTAAAAAGTAGTTCTTTGAAATATTTGTCCATAAATTCATATTACTTCAATGACAAATACAATTTTATGGTATGTACATTTTCAATGAAAGTTATCGAATCACGCTCTTAATATGGGTATACATCACACATTTTTTCAATTTAGCAACATTAATGTTCCAAAGTTCAGCCGATAACTAGAAGTATTTTAAAAGTTTTGTTAAGTGTAGTGTTCAATCGATAACGTCAGGAAAAGAATGTCTAATTAATAATCTATGTCAACTATAAAAATTTCTCAAAATCATTCAACTTAATAAAATCAAAAAAACAAGATAACAGAACAATAACAATGACAAAGAGATATATATGCTTTTAAGAAACACAAATAATTCACAAAATTTACAATGAATTCCCTATATGCCTTACCTACACAACAAAAAAAGGAAAAGAAACAAAAGACAAAACAAATATCAGAACACGGTAAACGAATTAAAACAAAATTTAAGAAGAATTGGCCCACATGCTTATTACATTAATTAAAAAATTTACGTATTATTTCTCTAATACAATCAATACACATTTTAAAACATATTAAGCCTAATATTTGAGCTCGATATATTTTTTCATGTAAAAATTATGATAGGGATATTTTTCTTTTATGAAAACTACGATCTACATATATTATAACTAGTCAAATTAAATAGGAGTCATCCTAATTAATCCCCACACACACAAACCCACAAAACTCATCTCGCCCACCACACCCATGTTGATTTAGAGTACTTTTCATATAATTTTTAAAATTATAAATTTTGTTATAAAATATTTGAAAAGATTTTACTCAAATTCATAATCAAAATAAAATATGTTGACCCTCATAC